TATTTATCCCAATTTTTATTTCTTTTTCAATCTTATTTATTTTATCCTTCACTTCTTGAAGATATAAAGGATTTCTTAGTAGTTGTCCAAAAGTAATATTGGCATCATAACGTTTAAGATCTTTAATTATTCTATAAGGTTATTCATGATAAGGTTTTACTAAGTAAATTGAATAATTGGTTTTGGCAATTGAGGTGGGGTCTTGTTTTGTTATTCTCAAGTTGATTTAGATCAGGGTAATGTAAATTTAAGTAGTTTGTGATAAAGCTAATCTGATAGTCATATAAGATTTTTATTCAGTCTTAGCCTCCTCAGTTTCTGCTAAATTAATATTTCTTTGCTAAGGCTATTATTATTTTGATTGTTATTGTTAGATTAGAAATTAGGTTGAGATTGAGTTTGAGTTTATGGTTGAACTCTAGTTATTGTTCTGATTAACAATTTCTAATCATATGTCTTTCTTCTCTACAATTCTAACATTTAAATTTCTTTTGTTCATAATTACAATAGTTTCTTTGATTTTGATTTTAATTATTCCAATTGTTTTGTCAATTTGTTTGTTGAACTTGAATGTTAGCCAAATTTGGTATTAGTTGAGAGACTTGTTGTTGTAATAACTCCATTTGATTTGCTATGATCTGTTGTTATTGAATGGATTAAGCAATAACAAAACCTGTCTCAATTTCCTTAGCTTTAGTTATAGCTGTATCTAAATTATTTAGGCTATATTCTACTACTATCATCATGATATATGGGACTAATCCTCTAATAAATTTGCTAACAATATATTGTTATCCAAATCCTTCTACAAGATCAATTCGTTGAATTAATATTTTGTATTTTTGAACATAATCAGCTACACTTTGTTCTGGCTGTTGACGAATTAACTTCAAATCAGTCATCCATTTATTTTTCATAGTAGCATTAGCAAAATAATTCAAGAAATGGTTGGTGAAGTTATAATGACTTTCTGGTAAAATCCAATTCTGAAAGGTAGGTTAATTTTTATCATATCATTTGATAGCAGCGTCTCTTAAGTATCCTGCAGCAATAGCTATTTTCTTATTATTAGTCCATTGATTAGCTGTAACTACTTGTTCAAAAGAAACAAGCCATTTGTAAAGGTCTTCATTATCTGTTTCATGAAAATAAGTAGGTTTAACTAAATTCAATTCTGCTCAATTTACTTAAGCTATATTTCCTACTGAGTTAGAGTTTATAGTTTATAATGTTAGGATCATTTGTTAAAGTAACTGCGTTATCTGAAAGTTATTATAGTTAGCATTGGTATTAAATATGTTTGTATTGAATGCAGGTTGGATAGTGACAGGCTGAGTTGAAAGAATTCCAAATCTTATATTTCTTGTATTGGCTGTATTAAATGTATTAGACATATTAGACTCTTATAGATATGATTGATTATTATTTTGTGTTGTGTTGCTTTCAGTTCTAAATCCAGAAGAGAGGTTAGAACTTCTAGTATTTGTACTTGGTGAAGGATTCATACTTGAAGGATTATTAGATTGAAAAGGATTAGAGATGTTTTCAGTCGCTTTGAACATGACCTGCTTTAGTTTAATTGCTTTAAAAATATTAATAAGATTTTCAACAGAAATAGATGCAGTGGTAGTTTCCAACTTTCCAATAGTTGTTTAATTAAAAATATTTGAAGTATTTGGATTTGATTGATATCCTCTGTATTCTGAAGAAAGTGAAATATTATGAAAACCTATAATTGAATTATTAATTTCTGGATCTTTATCTTTTAACCGAAGATTAATTATTTTAATTGTAGTTTCTAATGTTTCGTTACCACTGTATTCGAAATTTGGACTATCAATCAGAGGATATTCAAAATTATCTTCTTCTAAATCCTATTTACTTTAGCCTTAGTAAGGTTATAAGGGCTATTAAGATATACTTGACCATTATCTGATTTAATATCTAAATTTAGATTACTTAAAGTGACAGTTTTTTGGGAAAAAGTTTCAATAGTATTAGATTGAGGTAATTGGGGTTAGAGTTGGCTAATTTCAGATTCTGTATCTGTATTTGATAGTCTTCTAGGTGTTATTTCTGTATTTGTACAGGCATTTGAAATATTTCTTCTTATAGTAAATTGCACAGAAAAGGTATAAGACCTTCTGTCTTTAAATTGGTGTGTCTGTTAAAATTGAGAATTGCCTGATTTCTGACTAGTACTATCTTTTTTGGAGGAATCACATTTAATTCTTCTTATAATAAATAATTGTTATAAGTAATTGAAGACTGTATCCATGCAATAAATGGAGAAAGATTATTTGTAAAACAATCAGTATCTATAAATACTGAAATTAATTGAATAATTGAAGGTAATTCAGTTGCAGTAAGGTTATATCTGTAACTCAGGTTAAAACATTAATTTGAGTAATAAGAGTTCTAAAAAGATCATGATCGTTTGAATATGAATTAAACTTAGGAACAGTTTGGCTAATAATAATAAAAAAGTTAAGAGTAATGTCGGCATATCTATATGCTTTGAATTGAAGCTAATATCAATTTCACAAATTTTCAAAGTTCTTAGGTTCTGGAGTATAAAGAGAATAACAAGTTAAACAAGATAAATCTCTTTCAAGAAGTTCTTTTAAGTCAATCTCTGGTCTGTAACTGAGGTCGTATAATTGGTTCTCTTGTCTAAACTCATTTAAATCTATAATTCTTAACTTTTCTCAAAGTTTTATAATTCTGGCAGGAATCACCAAATTGTCACTGGGTTCATTTTTGTTTATTTAATATCTAAGTTAAGTGACTGCAGCAGTTGATTTTACATGTTGGAGTTTCTGACTTTAGGATTTTTTCTAAGTCCTACAGGTATCTATTATACTTGAATAAACTCAGCAATTTATTATGTCTTAGAATTTAAGATATATTTAATCGAACTTGTAATGATAAACTCAATAGCAAATTAGTATAGAGTATTATAACAATCTTTGATAAAGAATAATGTCAAAGGGAAAAGTAATTTATATAGATTTAAATTGATTCCTTTATTTATAATTTGAAACTTGCAAAAGAGTTAATAAACTTGCAGAGGAGTTAATTTACAATTTGAGTAAAAAGCTATTCTATTTATACAAAATTAATTTGTTATAGCTAACTACTTGCTACGCTATAAATTAACTAAATATAAATATATTTTTCAATAAAAATATATTTAAATATAATAAAATAATAAAAATAATTTAAACTATGAAAATAATAAAAAGAAATAAAATAAATTATAGATGTTAAAGAAATTACAGATGAAACAGAAATAGAAATTATTGCTGATAATTATTTGGCATAGCAGTGATACCATCTAACGTAAGATCATTATTAATTGATAGATCTCACGTGATATTTGGAGTTGTAATTACTTTCGTTGATAATATTAATTAATATTTGATATTCAAATCGATAGTATTATAAGTTTCAGAAGTATTGAAGTAAAAGAATTTAAATTTTTAGATAATCAGCCCTCTATTGATTTGTTTTTAGATATAAATGAATTTTTTCTGATAAAATCTATTGATTTTGAATAAATTTACAAAATATTAAGAAATCAAATGTTAATGATAGTGAAATATTTTCTGATGAATTTTTTAAATCATCATCTAATAATATAATTATTTCAAGTAAAATACTTGATTTAATAGTTAAATAATATATGATAATTTATATTATGTTTAACTTTAAGAAACTATTTAATAAATATTCAAAAAATAGTATAATGATTTAGATCAAAATAAATTAATTTAAAAGGTGTTAAATTAGTTCTGAAATCTTAGTTCAACAATATTTTTATAATATATAAAAACTTTATACATTTTAGTTAAATTTATTATAAAAGATAACACTATCAATTATTACTTAGATCAAATTCAACATTATTTACTCATATGATTAATTTGCTATTCAGATTAACTAAACATTTTTTAGCTAATATTAACTAGTATAAATCTACAAGTTCTCTAAATATTTAATATATTTTAGCAAAGAAAAAACATGTAATATTGAATTATGAAATACTAAATTTATCTAAAAAGTTGTGATTGTATAATATCAGTTCATTATATTTTTTATTTTATTTTATTGATTTAATTCAATTAATAAAAAATATTATTTGTAAAAATACTATTAACTAAATTAAATATTTTTAGTTATGAATTTTATAATTTAAAATAAAAAATATCAATTATATTTCCTTTCAATTTTATTTTATTTAAATATATTTTAACTGATTTTTAATATATGTAAATTAGATGTAAATCAAATATTAATTAATTATAAATAAAATAGGTCAAATTTTGGTTAATTTTTGATGTATACTAATTGACTAAGCTGATTTTTGATGATTATCAATTTAGGCTAATTATTCATATATTTAATTTTTTGATTTTAATCAGTGATATATTTAATAAGGTTAAATTATAATCAAAGTTATTAGATTTATTTATTAATTATTAATAATATATTATGTGATATTTTATACAGATTGATATAAAAGAAAGCTTGTTAATATTTAAATAGAAATAGCTAATTTAATATAACATTTGATACTAATCTAAGAAAAAAATATTAGAATTTAGTAATTATTAATAATATAAATTTCAAGAAAAAGAATTTTAAATTTGATAATATTTATATGTAATATTAAAATAGCTTTTTAAGCATGATTATTTATAGATAAATCTGAATTTGAAGAAGTAATTAAATTAACTTGTTCAAAAAAAACAATATAAATTATTTAAGAAAAACTATAATAAATTATGTTTGAATGATAGTAAATAATTTAATTAAATAATAACAAATTATCTAATAAGATCTAAATATGAATCTGAATCTGATAGATTAAATTTAAATTTAAATCTAAATATAATTTAAATCTGATTATCAGATTCAAATTAAATTCTAATTAATTTAGAACTGTGTAGATTATTTCACTCATTATATTCAAAAATTTTTTAAATTTAAAGATCAGTTTACTATCATAATTAATAAAAAATAAAATTATAAAAATTCTGCAAAAATTATTAATTAACTACTTTTTATAATATAAATTTTGATTTTATGTAAAAATTATATGTAATTAGTAATTTAAAATCATATTTCATTATCATATAAATTTGCATCTAGGATTTAAGTTTAAAAAATAAAAAAGTAAATATTATAAAACTTTTATACAAGTGTTATATTATTAAAAAATTTGTTGAAAACATAAATTAAAATTAAGAAACAAAATAAAATTAAAGTTTTAAGTTTATTACTTAAAAAATTTGTACTAATACTAAAATTTTTGTAATTTGATATTATATAAATTTTGTATTAATAATTAGTGTCTTATATTATTTTATGTGATATAATCAATGATTGATAATAAAATTATAGAAAAAACTATTATTATTAATTTCAATCCATACTTATAAAGGAAAAGTAATTGTAGTAATATAAAAAATTGATTATGTATTTAATTTATTTATCTATTGAAAATAAAAAAAATATATATATTATAATAGTAAAAAATTTTTAAATTAAAAAAAATTTAATAAAAATATTTTTATAATTTTTATTTTAAATAATTATATTATTTAAATAAAATATATTATTTTTAATTTTTTTAAATTCAATAATAATATTATTAATTAAATCTAATTGTAACATTATATTACGTATCTTATTTGTAATATCCATAATTTATCTAATTAAAATTAAGATTAGATATAACGTTAATAATTTAGCAAATCAAAACAAAAGATTAGTTATGTAATGAAAATTAAAAAATTTCAAGAAACTATTTATAACTGAATATTTTATATATGAAACTGTCTTTAATACATTAAGTAAAAATTTTCTAAATTAAATTTTGCATTTAAAAATCTTATTTATAAGATATTTAAAATAAGTTATTACTAAGAAAAATAAAAAAAAATGTTAAAATAAAATATGTTACAAATATATTTTATTTAAAATAAATACTTTTTATTATTATATTTTTAAATAAAATTTAAACAAATTTTTTTATTATTTTAAAATTAAAAATAAAAAATTATAAATAAATTCAATTTTTATATATATTGTAATTTCAATTTTTTTTTTTTTTTTTTGATGAATTAAATTCTATATACATAAATTTAATATAATATATATATATATATAATAAAAACAAAGAAATTTTACTTTAAAATTAATAATAAAAATCAAAAAAAAGAAATTTATATTTTAAAAATTAAGTATAAATATTTTGTAAATAAATATATATATGTATAAATATATATATTTGTAAAAAAAGATAGGTAATATAATAATATATTCCTATATTCAAAATAAAAATTACATAAATATAAAATAAAATAAATAAAAATACAAATCAAAAAAAAAATAAAATAAAATAAAATAAACAATAAAAACTAAAAAATTGACATTAAATAAATGTTTTTTTTCTTTTAAAATAATAAAGATATTAGAAAATTATAGTGAATAAAAAAGTATTGTGTAAATAGGAAAAATTAATTTGTTGAATGCAATAAGCAAAAAAAAAAAAAAAGAAAATTATTTAAAAATAAAAAATATATACACACAATTTTATTCTTTTATATTGTTTGTGATACATTAATAGAAGATGGACTATAAGGCCCAATTCCACTAAAAAAAATTTGATATTAAAAACAAAATTCATCATAATATTGAAATTTAAATAAAATCACATGAACATACCTCCTCCGCCTTTGTTTATTATTTTGCTGTTGTAATTTCAACATTGAAGCAGCATCAAGTGGTTTAAGTAGTTCAAAACTGCACAAAAGTTCCTCATTTACACTCATTACTGCTCCAAAATTATCAAATTCTCCGCAATAATTTGGAGCAGAGAACACAGTTACCAACGTTCTATCATTAAAAAACTCATAACCGTCCTCAACTACCATATGTGCACGACACACTAAATCAAAATCATGTCGTTGCAAAAATTCATGGATAATCGCCTTGCCAAAGCAGTAGCTAACGCCTCGTTCATTATCCTCCCAATCTACAGCCGTATCCGAAGGATCTGACCATAACAGATCATTAAGCAGTCCATAGTCTGGCACATCTATAGGACGTTGGATACTCCGAATCTCATCCATCGATGAGAGAGAAGGCGATAAACCACCATGTACACAGAAAATTTTGTTTGCTACAATGGCGGCGATTGGGAGACAATTAAAAACACCAATGAAAGTTTTCCATGTCTTGATATTTGTTCGACGTTTACATTCGTCATAAAATCCATATACTTAAATTGAAGATGAATAATTTGTAACGTATGAAATATAAGACGATAATTATTATATTTCAAATGAAATTAATAGAAAATTACCTCTTGTTACATTTGCACATTCGTGATTTCCTCTCAATAAAAAAAAATTTTCCGGGTATTTAATCTTGTAGCAGAGTAAAAGCAGTATAGTCTCCAAACTCTGCTTTCCACGATCCACATAATCACCAAGAAATAAATAATTTGCTGAAGGAGGAAACCCACACATGTCGAATAACCGGATAAGGTCGGAATATTGACCATGAACATCGCCGACAATTTTGACCGGTGGGGAAAGTTCAATGAGCGTTGGCTGTGATAAAAATACCTCACGTGCAGCATGGCAAATAGCATGTATTTCCACATTTTTTAAGCACACAGACTTTGAAACCTTATTAGAACACCCAACGGCAATGAGACGTTGTATAATGTCATCAATATCGAAGGACTTCATACGATCATTGGTGGGCGCGCTATTAAGAGGAACTAACTGTCCATCTGAACCAGCCTCTACGGCATTATTATTGGAATCATCATTTCCAATCGGTCGTCGGAGAATTGGTGATGTTGGTGAAATTGGTGAACTATCTTCAGAATTTGATGAAGTATTATTAATATTGTCTTTACTGGTGTTACTGGTGTCGACGGTTAATGCATCCTTTATCGATGAATTTACAGGACCTGAATTCGAACCATTTTTTTTTTCTTCACTTAAATTATTATCATTATTTTTCGACGAATGTTTCTTCGAAGAAGAGTTACCCATTGTTCTTTTCGAATTATAGTTGGACTAAACTAGAACTTCTTTTTCTGACTATTCTTCAGGCTTACTGAAATATCCTAAAATTTAATAAGGCTTTATTTGATTGATGAAATGAAGTTATAATATCAAATTGAATAATGTCAAAACTCCGATAAATAAAAAATATTTAGTGAAAATTAAGAGGAAAAAAAAAAAATTTTGAATATCCGAGTTTTCCAATAACAATTGATAATGCTTATTGACTAATATATTATTAGCATAAATAAAATTATGAAAGTGATAATAACCTTGACCCCCCAAAAAAATCAAAATATTATTCTGTCTTAAAGCAGAGAGACAACAGGAGATTGGACTTTGGCAAAAAAAATTCGTATGCAGGCATATGAGCACAGAAATTATTATATTCTGACGGGATCTAAAAACAAAGAGACGAAATAAAATACTAAGAAATGCAAAGTCGTCAAGAATTAAGTATAAAACGATTTAAGTAAATTGAAAAGGTAACAAAAAAGATATATATTACAAGATTGATTTTATAAACAGAAATATATTTCCATTAAGTTCGCTTACTTGATTTGTTAAAAATGTAATGTTAGGTGTAAATTAAGGATTATTCTTTTAATAAACTTATGAAAGTTCAATAAATATTATATAAAATGTGCACTATTGATATGGGTTCTTTCTCACTCTCACTCACTCACTCTTTCTATCTATTTCTTTCTTTTTTTTTTTTTAAGGAAAAAAAAAAAAAAAAAGACAAACGTGCTTAAAATTAGCGAGAAAAATGACGAAATAGTATGAAAGGTTGGTTTGCAGTTCAATGTCATTTATGCGCCACTTATAATACTTTAAGTCGATATTCCCGGGAATTATTCGGGTCTTATCTAGGGTCTTTACCATAAATAGAAAAGGGAAATCTTTTAGTCAAAGAAAAAAATAATACCTATAAGCAGCTTGCATTATCCAATCTTGCGCCCGTAGAGTTTCCCACCCAGATAGAAATTAGAAAGATCAACCATAAGGTTAACCTTATGCAGTGCATTGTTACCAATATTCCTTTTATTTATATTATAGACATTAAAAAATAAAATTCAAGAAATAAGCGAGAAAAATGCCTCCCAATATATATATATACGCGAGAACTATTGACCACATCTGCTCTGGTAGTAGAAATAAAAGAAAAATAAATAAATAAAGGAATAATACATTCGGATCTGCTTAGTAACAGAATACCCCCATTTCTCTAAATTTCTGTGAAAAAAGAAGCTACTAAAATTAGCTTTATATTAAACAATTAAAATCACGAGCTTTCAAATACTAACGCTAAGCAATTATAGATAATAAAGTCAATTTTTAATTTGATCTTATGAAACTTTAATTTTTTAATTAAATCATAAATTAAAAATTTTTTATAATCAATTTTAACCAATTCATCAATTTAATTGTCTTTAATTATATTTTGATTTTTTAATATTAGAATATTGTAATTTGGTAGAATTGAAAATCTGGTAAATTATCAAAATGTTTATTAACCTACCATTTTTGATATTTAATTAAATATTTTATAAATTATTTTATTTATAACTAAAAACTTTTTATCTACTTGTATTGAAATCTCTATTCCTTAAAATGGTAAGTATAAATAATTCATAAAACATTTTAAATAAAATATTTTGACATCTAATGATTATAAAAGATAAAATAAATTTTATTAGATTTGTTATATTAATATGTATCTAATGATTATATTTTTAAATTTTAAAATTAATAATTATCAATATATATTTAAAAATAATTGATTATATAATAATTATTTAAAAATAAATTTAGTTTATTGGATTTATCTTATTAAACCTATTAAAAGGTAGTATTTTTATATTTTTAAGATTGATAAATAGCAAGTTATGAGTTTAAAATTTATTTTTTTTTTTTAATAATAATTTATTATATATTTATCTTTAAAAATCACTAGTAAATTACATTTTTTTTTTAATTTTTACTTAGAAAATATCATAAAATTATTATAAAGTATTAATTTATAATAATATATTTTAAAAATATTTAAAAATAAATAAAAATAATTTTAATTAATAAATAAAATTGCTTGCAAATGTGTAAGTAAAACAATTAAAAGAATAATATCTGAATTTATTATATAAAAAATATCTGTTTTACTTTATTTACTTATTCTAAATTACTTAATTAATATTTAATTTAAAAATCTTAATTTTATTATATTTCTAACTCATAATATATATATATATATTATAATATTTAATAATTAGAATAATAATCTACTATTTAATTATAATAAATATTATTAATTTACTTAATTTAGATTTTTTGTCCTATTTAAATTAATATATTTTAATGATATTATACTTGATATCCTAATTACCTTTAAATCATAATTCTATTTTTTTATTTTTATATTATTTTTAATATATTACTATTATATAATAATTTATTTTATTATAAAAAGTATCCTTTAGACTATTGTTCTTTTTAGAGTATGTTATATCAGTTATATTTTATTTATTTTTTCACTCTTTAGTAGTTTAGTTATCTGCTTTGTTATTATATCTGCCTTTCTTCTATACCTTTTTATTTATATATTTTTGAAGTCATATAATTTGATATTTATATATATGTGATTTTTTCTAAAACTTTAGCTAAAAATTTTATCAAAATCATTTAACTAAAAATTTTAAAACTAATGAATTTTATATATTAACTGTTATTGAATTGATATCAACATGTATTTAATAATACTAAATTTATTACTAGAATATATATTTATAATCTTTTTTATAACTTAAAAAAATTATTTTAGAAAGTACTAATTAAAATAATTAAATTTTGATGATTGTAAGAAATAAACATATAATATATTATTAAAAGAATGTAATCCTAAAAAACTTAATAATAAATAATACTTTATGTATATATTATTAAGAAAATCATATGATAATGATCTTAAAGAGTTTAGTATCAAATAATATTAACAAAAATCTATATAATATCAAGTAATTGTAATTTATTATATTAAAATCATATATAAAATATGTTCTTAAAATCTTTTTAAAATATTTCTATTATAATTAAATATTTTTAAGCTTTTAATCTGATAATTGATAATTAAAGATATAATACATATTATATGTTCTAAAATGTTACATCCAGATACATACTATAAAGATATATACTTCTTTTATTTTATATAATAATTTTGTAAAAGTTTACATATTATATCTAAATATATATATTAGTAATAGAATTGCTAAAAAATCAAATTCTAGAAATTTTTAATAAAATTGAGATTTTTATTGTATTTTAGTTATTAATGTTATTAGATTAAAATGCATTAAACTTTTAATTTTAGTCAAAAATTTCAGAACCTGATTTTTTTAAAAATTCTTTCATATAATATTTAAGAAAATATTCAATTTATAATACTTTAGAACTACACTTAAATATATAATAGCATTGAATATTCTAAATTTATGGTTATATTTATTTTAAAATTTATATAAAGTAAAACTTTGAATAATTTAAATTAATCTAAAGATTTTTTAGTTTATATTAGTTTCAGATTACATAAAAATTAATCTAAAAATTTTCGATTCAATTTAAATTTTTTTAGATTATAATTCTAATCTGAATTATAAAAAATCTAAACTGATTAAAATTTCAAATTAATCTGAAAGTTTAATTTGATTATATACAAAACTTTTAGAAAATTATAATTCTTTGTGATTTTTCTTTAAATTTCACAAAAATATTACAAAATTCTTAAACACAAAAGTTATAAATTTTTAAGAAGTTTATATTGTTTATAAAACTCTTAGATAATTGCAAATTTTACAATTTTTCTTTGAATTTTACAATTTTTTTGTGAACTTTAAAGAGAAATTTGTGATCTTTTATGATTCTCTAAGAATTTTGCATATAAATTGCAGATTCTCATTGAGATTTATATATAATCAAACTGTAATTTCAAATTAATTTAAAATTTTAGTTTAGTTTAGATTTTTATTAGTTTGCAATTCAGTTTAGATTTAGATTGGCATTTTTAAGATTAATAATCTAAATGGAACTGAACTGAAATTTTCAGTTTAGATTCAAATTAGTTTTTAATCTAGACTGAACTGAATTATTTCAAGCTTTAAGCTCAACTTAAAAGTATTTTAATTTTATAATGAATTTAATTATTTTTAAAGATTATTTTGCTTATAATATAAATAAAACTACAAAATCAATTATTATTATATTATATGATAGTAAAAAATTATTATTTTAATTATTTTGATATTTTAATTTTACATTTTATACTCTTAATATAATTATAATACTTTTATTAATATTTGTATCTATGAAAAAATGTAAATTTTATGATATTGATACTGATTTTGATGATGTTAATATTAATTTTTTTATATTAATATATATTAAAAATAATATTAATTAAAATATTATTATACTTATCTATATTATTATTATAAGGATTTTAGCAGTTCTAATACTTTTTTTTTTTTTGAATTGCTATTGTTTTTTAACTAAACTTCATCTTTATTAACTTCTAATATATTATAAAAATATAAATATAAAAGTGTTTCCTATTTCAAGATAAGAATACATTGATTTTGCAGCATTTTTTATATGCAAGCTTCATAATATTACAAAAGCTAATACTGTATTTGTATATGTATAATTTGTAAAAGAATAGGATTCCAAATTTTTAGTTTTCATATGTTACAAAAAAAATGATATTTCACGGTAATACAAATTAAAGATTCACGTGTAAATTATAACCAATCACAGTTCGTGTTGTTTGCGACGCATGCGTAACAAATAAACTATGATTATGCGTTATAATTTTGGGCAAAATTATATGATTTCGGCTAGAATTATTAATTTAAAAGTTTTATTATTACCACACTGAAAACTTTATCATCTTAATAACCAATTAAAATTAAGAATTTTACTGCGATTATGCATATTGTGCCGCAGTGTAACAATCTTTATATAAATAAGAATTTTTTATATTTACGGGGTTTTTTTCCGCTTTGCATTTAGAACAACACGATTTGTATGGTATTTCAGTGTTTGCTAAATTAAGTTTATCGAAAACACCAAGTACTGTATACGTCAAGAAGTATGTACAGTATACTAATTTGGTGTTATTGCCTTTAAATGGTTAAAATGTCACGTCAATTGTCTTACATTTTAACCATTCTCTTGTGAAGAAAATGAGAATTGCATTTACGACGGAAACGGGTGAAGTCCATAATTTGGAAATCGATTCACAAATGGAATTAGAAAACATTAAAGCTTTAATTGAGGCCGAGGTTTGAGAATTTTTACAAGACTTCACATTTTTTCAAATTTAAAAATTTAAATCTAGTTAAATTGTGCAGATAGGGACAGCTCCTGCCAATCAAATTTTATTTTATCACGGGCAAGAGTTAACGGATCCAAAGAAAACTCTAGAGCAATATGGCGTCGTTCAAGATGAAATATTGTTACTTAAAATACGTCCTTCCAATAATCAATCGTCGTCCTCAGTGTAAGACTCTTTTTATATATATATATTTCTTTGATAAGTTTCAAATTAAAAATTGTTATCTTGGTATTTATTTTTCGAATAATTAGTGGTACACCCGGAGAATATGAATTTATGCGTCAAACTTTATTGAGTCGACCTGACATGTTGCAACAACTGCGTCAAGTAAGTCTTTTTATTGAAAAAAAAAATTTTTAGATTGTTATTAATTCATTGATTATCCAAGTATATTAATTAAAATATTTGGTTTATAAGAACCAATCAGAACTTGCTAATGCAGTAAACGATCCACAAAGATTTACTGAAATAATTCAAGAAATGGCACAACGTAGACATGAAGGAGAATTACAAAGAATGCAGCAAATTGTAGGTTTTTGTTGATGTAACATTGCATTTTTTGAATTTCATTGTATTGTATGAATGATAATTGATTTTGATTCAATAAATATAGAATATGCTTAATGAAGATCCATATGATGTTGAAAAACAAAGAAGTATAGAAGAGGCCATAAGGATGCAAAATGTTTTGGCTAATTTTTCAGATGCATTAGAGCATAATCCGGAATCTTTTGGCAGAGTTCGTTTTGATCAACAATTAGCGAATTTATTTATTATTAAACTGTAACGCTTATTATATTATTTGATTAGGTAACGATGTTATATATTGATGTTGAAGTTAACGGACATCCAGTGAAAGCTTTTGTCGATTCTGGAGCTCAAGCCACTATAAGTAGGTTTAAATATGAAGTTCTTTTTTTATTTTATCATTGAGATTAATTGTTATTCATAAATCAAGTGAGCCCTCAATGTGCCGAAAGTTGTGGGTTAGTTATTTAATGCCTCTTATTAATAAATATTTGTATAGTATAGACTGTTTTAACATTAACATTGAGAGTATATATCTTAGGATTATGCGACTTGTAGATAACCGATTTGCCGGGATTGCTAAAGGTGTGGGAACGGCGAAAATTATAGGTCGTGTTCACAGCGCACAGATTCGTGTCGGAACAGACTTATTTTTAATTTGTTCGTTTACTATTATGGAAGTATGTAAAAATATATTATGGAATATTATGGCAAATTTTAAATGAATATTTTTATTAATTCATTTCGATTATAGGGACGTGGAACTGATTTATTATTTGGGCTGGATATGCTTAAACGCCATCAGGTCGGTTTTAATGTTATCTTATCGAAGTTAATTGAAGCATATATTAAACTGAAAAAAATATATATATATTTTTTTTATTAGGCATGTATTGATTTGCAAAAGAACGCATTAATTATTAATGGTAAAGAAATTCGATTTTTAGCAGAACATGAATTACCAGAAAGTGCAAGAATGGAAATGGATGAGTCGGAAGAACATATCCCTCATAATTTAGCTAGTTCTAGTGCATCAAATACGGAATCACCATCAATTTCTTCTAGTACTATTGTCAATCCACCTTCCTCAAATTCTTCTCCCCCAGGTAATTTTAATATTTACTCAAATAAAGAGATCTTAAATGAATTTTTTTTTAAAAAAATTTTACTTTATTTATTAAAATAGTATCTCAACAACAATCACAATACCCAGATGAACATATTCAAAATTTAATTTCAATGGGAGGTATTACAAGAGATGAAGCTATTAAATTATTAGATGCAGCGGGTGGTAATGTTGAAATTGCTGCTAGTTTATTATTTGGATAGTTTTGGATGATATGATAAATAATTTATTTTCTACTTTTCATTATAATTATTAAAATGTTGCTTAAAGTTTTACGTTTTATGATTGAATACATTGAAAAAAAAAACTTAAGGGATTTTGTTAATTTTTCTTTCTTCAGCATCTACCAAATCTTTCCAATGATCATCTCCTACAGGACCACTTGGTTTTCTTTTATCAGTCATGGAAATCCCGGCACCGGCGAGAATGAGTACAATTGTTAAAGCTTGAGCGTACATACGAGCTTGCACAACTTTTTGTGAAAGTGATAAATATCTAAAAAAAAAAAAAAAAAAAAAAGGGTATCATGAAAGATTACTTCAAAAAGGATTAAAATATTCGATCACGCTTTATTTTATGATTACCTGTTCTTATGAGTATAAGCTAAACTACCAATTATACTTAAAGCCCAAGCAGAACTAAGAACACTATATCTATTTTCTGAAACAAAATTTCTAGATTTTTGTAAAGAAGTTTCATCCTTTAAAGGAATTGGTCTTTCAAGCTCATAATGACCATATCTTTTTCTTTCATAATTTAAACCAGCTTGTTCAGCTAAAATGATACATCCGGCTGTAGTGCCAGAAGAAACTAAAAAGGCTTTAAGTTGTATAGTTGAATTTCTAAATGTAGGAAAATATCGTTGAGCAATTAAAGATAAACCTAATGTTAATCCAAGACCAATTGCTGCTCCTTTAATACCACCTTTAACTGTCGCATTGTAATGTTCTTGGAAAATGAAGAAATCAGAATTAGTATATCAAGAAACATTTTGTATATATAAATATATACATTTTTAATATGTACTAATATGTACCTTGTTTTTCTTGTTCTGAAAGTATTTTCATATTTAAATGAGTGAAAAAGCTAAAGCACGCTTCTTTTTGAAGGTTATATATACAATTTACACGTGTCTACTATCTTCATAAGGGAATATATAAATACCGCGCATCGCGATTTCATAGATCTCGTATATTAGTAATTCATCGAAAGTGGTTTGAATGGTTAATAATCAAATTAGAAAGACCGATGCGATTGGCATTCAAACCATATCCTGATTTTTCATTAAAAAATTTATCCAATCATGCGATTAGATAAAGACAAGACAGACTATGACTATTTTTGACTATTCTTAGATCTCTTAAATCTTGATCTATTATTTACAGTTCAATAGATTTTCACGAATGAAGCAGTTCTTATTAAAATCTTGTCATGAATCATATGGGAAAAAACCGGAAAAAATCAATTTTATTTTTATTTGTCAAATATGATTTTTAGGTCAAAATATGTTCAGATTTAGATTAACTCATTTTTTTTATTTTCCTGGCAATTTTCTTGCAAAGACCGTAAAGTGATTTTACTAAAAACTTCCTATTTGTACATATTGATAAATTTATTATTATTAAATAAGAAAATTATAAAATAATACTAATTTTTATTGTAAAATTACATTTTTAATATATAATTTTATCTATTATAATAAATTAGTACATATAATATATATTTTAAGATAAATGATATTAACTAATACTTCTGTTAGATAATAAAGTAATTTTCTTTTAATTTTACTATATAATAAAATATTAAATAAATATACAGTTAAAGCTCATTATAGTAAATCCTGTTATAAGAAACACATGTTATAATAAATATATTTTATTTGTTTATTTATTTTTCTATAATAAATTTTATTTAATATAGTAAACTCTTAATCAAATCTTACTAAAACTAAAAATTTAATATAACAACTTTGATTATATATAAGCTAGGTTGGCTTATAAATCTTATAATTTAAGTTTTACTTAAACAATTAACTAATAATTTATAAGTTAATCAAGTTAGTTTATATTATAATTCATTTTATTAGATTGATTATTACATTTAAAATATGTGATATATATAATGCTTAGTAAATTTTAAATTTTAAAACAGTTTTTATATTATAAATAAATTTATTATAAATTATAAATCTATATAATTAAATATTATAACTAAATTTTTATTAATACTACAACTAATTATAAATAGTGATAAATAAGTATTACAAAATTACAATTCATTGTAACATTATTTTTAATCAATATATTAAATCAATATATAATTTAAAATATATTATTGCTGTTTTTGAAAAGGTTGAATCTGTACTATATCAATCAATTATAATAAATACTGAAAAAATGTGACTTTTGTAAATCAGATCTAATAAAACTTTATGTATCACTTATTAATACCTGATTTTTTTATAATACTAAGAAGAATAAAGTTATACTATATATTTTTAATGATGTTAGAGAAGTTTCATTCTACTTTCATTAGGAAATTATTAGCGATTATTTTTTTGATTATAAATGATTACAAATAATTACAAACAATTACAAAATAACTTCATATTATATACTATAATTATAAAGCTTATTCAAATAATAAAATATTTATTTTTTGATAGAAAGACTGTGTATATATTTTTTTAGTGTTTACTTTGACTGCTTCCCTTTTTTTATTGAATTACCGTTAACAGTAAGTATTATAATAGTTCTAAATTACATTTATAGTTATTGTAACTACTGACTCTTTTATTCTATTTATTTTCAAACAGAAAATACATGCTTAAAGAATTTAGTGTAGATTTACAGTAAAGAGTTATATATTTATATGCTGATGGTTATTTTATTATATATATTACTAATACATTATATATGAGTAAGTCTTCCATATCTAGAATAATAAATATATACAAAACATAAGCTTGCGTAAATAATCCTTTTAAAAGAGCTTTTGATAAAAAGAAGCTCTTAGTCAAAATAATATATATATTCTTCAAAGTCTAATAAAAGACAAGATTAACTAATATTTAGATATGTTAGTTTATGAGATAGAGAATCTTACAGAAAAAAAAGCTTCTATCTCAATACTTTGAAATCACTTTGCTATTTAGCAATTACTTGAAAAAAGGTATTGAAAAATTAATCTTACAACAGTAATTGTGAATTCAATATTCTAATTAAATTTATTTTTTTATAAAAGTTGCAAAAAGAAACTTATGAAAGAAGTGAAATCATATGTGCATATTATTTAGGTAATATTGGTAAACATTATACTCTAAATCAATTAATATTTATTGATAAAAGTGCTAAAAATAAAAGAAGTTTATCAAGATTTTATAGGTATTCTTTTCAAAATATACATGTATGCAAAAAAGTAGTATTTATATGAAGAAAAAGATATACAATTTTACCTGCTCTAACTTTAGATAGATTTATTGTAGTTAAAAACTTCAAAGAAGCTAATGATAAAAAAAGATTTATTGATTTTATACTTAATCAAGTATTATATAAAAATATTCTAATTTTATTATTTTATATTTTTTATAACTTATAATAATAACATAAAATTTATTTAAACTTATTGTAGGTGCTTGTCATGAATTCTTATTCTGGTAATAATTGTGTTATTATAATAGATAATGCTAAAATACATCATGATACTAATCTTATTTCAATATTGGAAGGATTAGGATGTCATGTAATTTTTCTTCTATCTTATTCACCAGACTATAATCCTATAGAAACTGCATTTTCAGTAATTAAATCATAAATTAAATATAATTGTAATTTTATGAAAGCTTGTGATAATCCAAATATATTCTTTATTAGTTACATGTAGTTAAATCACTCTTCAAATGACAAAATCATTTTTTTAGATCATTAATTTATATGTAAAACTACATCATTGAAATAAATAAAATAAAATAAAATTATATTACTATTGGTATAGTTTAAATGAGTTATAGGTGAATTACATATAAAATTAGATTAATCAGATTGTAGAAAAGATGTAAAACATTAAAATATTTATTATAACTAAAAATTAAGTAATTGCTTTATTACTTTATGCTCAATATATGTCATAATTTTTATTATATTTTATATCAAATACAATATAAGACAAAATCAGTATCTTTGAGATATCTAATTGATATTTTTTTACCATCCTATTTTACTAATTCTCAGTTTTACTATTTCTTCATCTGTCAAGTCTTTAATAGCGTTTACTGTAATTTCTTCTTATAAAAAACACCTTAAAATTTAGAATATATATTATTGGAATTATATTTTTGATCAAGACTATAAAGAAATTCAGAAATAAAAGGTAATTCATATATAATAGGTGATGGTAGTGGTTAGGTAAATATATTTGAATGAGAATAAGAAGAATAATAAAATGGCATTTAAATGACGATTGAATTAATGGATATAATAGATAGTATTGATACTGTTATAATAGAATTTGTATACCATTATTATTCTTATCCACTAATGTACTTAATATTATACTAAAGGTGGAATAAGTAAGAGGAACATTATAAGTAGCATTTTTGTTAATCTGTTTTATATTAAACTATTTGTAGTTAAAAATAAAAAGTAAAATTAGTTTTTATTTAAATAAATAAAATTACTTACTATTTCATATGCTCAAAGTTGTAATCCAACTGGATTTAATTGTAGGTAGCAGTTTTCTTGCACAAAATATGATGTTTTATGCAATTTATTTTTGTATTTTTTACATAAATCCGCTATTATTTCAGCTCTTGTCCTTTCTTTACTGGATAAATCTTTTTTCTTATATAGCATAACTTTTCTTTTTTTTCTTATTTAATACATCTTTATCTGAAATACTATTTTCTTGTATGACATAACTTTTCTTTTTTTTCTTATTAGAACCTTTTTTTTCTAAAGCACTACTTTTATTAGAATCTTAAAATTATTATATTTTAAAGTTAGATATAAAATAGAGTTTCAAATGAGTTGAGTCAAGTCGAGTTTAAAGATCAACCCTATTCAACTCTCTTTTTTTAAATTGAGTTGAGTCAAATTTATTTTATAAATCTTTCAATTTGATTTGATTCAAATTATATAAATTTTAAACTCAATTCAATTTGACTCAACTCAATTTTAATTCGATTTGATTTTGAAAAAAAATAATAAAAAAAAATAAAAAGATCAGCAAGGAGGAGAAGCAAACGATTTAGGTCATCATTCTTCTTAAACAATTTTTTTATCGTTCAAGTTGAATGATTTTTTATCATTCTTCTTAAACGATTTTTTTTTATCGTTCAAGTCAAACAATTTTTTATTATTCTTCTTGAATGATTTTTTATCATTCAAGTCAACTCGAGTTAACTCGAATCAAGTTGAGTTTAAATTGAGTTGAGTTAAATATTTAACTCAACTTGAATTTGGCTTGACTTACAAATCATTGAGTCAAAAAAACATAAACTCAACTTGATTTAAACTCGACTCAGCTTTTCTAACTCATGAATTAACTTAACTTGTCTGAAACTCTATATAAAAATAAACAAAATACTATAAATGATCTTTACCTTTAAACGTTTTGAATTATCAATTCTTATTATTATTGACATTTTTTTATTTGCGAAAGTAACTCTCTTATAATCTTTAATAAACTTATTAAAATCTAATTTATTTTCTAAGGTATTAGAAGGTTCATGTGTATTTATTGCCTTATATGATATACTATAATCTTTTGGATTGAGTTTTTTATTATTTAATACCTTTTTGATTGCATCATTGATTCTTTCTATAATATTTATATATTTAACAGGTTTGATGGTTATGGTTTTAGATGTAGAAGTTTTTTTTACCCTTTTTTCAATGACTATTTATAATTTTATTTCATCAATACCATATTTTTCAGTTTCAAATAATTTAGAAATACCTTTACTTTCATAATTATTGCTCATTTAGTAATAAAAACAGTTGAAATTTTAGTTAATTTATTGTTGAAGAAAACTTCTTTCTTTACAGTAAATCTATTTTTTTTCTTTGCAATAGATTTACCTTTCCTTTTAATTGATTTTGTGAAGGTATTTTTCTTTAAAATCTACTGTGACAAGCTGAACACAAGGTAACTGAAAATGTTTTATTAAAGTTA